AACTGTAACAGCTATAGATCCATCTCATTAATCAATACTGATGTGAAAATACTTTCACAAATATTGGCTAAGAGACTGGAAAAAGTAATGAATGAAATGGTTAACCCCGAACAGGTGGAATTTATTTTAAAAAGGCATAGTTCCCACTCTAGAAATTCCCATGGAATTGTTTCACTCAATGCAGAGAAAGCCTTTGACAACGCGAACTGGCAATATCTGTTTGTGACCCTGGATAAATTTGGCTTGGGAAAATCCTTAATTTCATGGATAAAGCTGTTAGGATCTGAGAATTGGGATTGGAATATAACAAACAGCACAATATCTCCCCACCCCTTTGATCTGTTTCAGGGAGCAAGACAGGGATGTCCTCTGTCCCCCTTCCTATTCAATCTAGCATTAGAACCACTTGCAATACAAATTAGGGAACACCAAAATATTCAACGGATCAAATCAGAGACTCAGGTAACAACAAATCAGAGACTCAAGAGACAAATTTTTCTATATGCAGATGTCATCCTCCTACTTATTAAAAATCCAGATCAATCTATTCTAAATATTCTACAAACTATAGATAACTGGTAAATTCTCTGGCTACAAGATACATTGGGATAAATTTGAAACAATAAAGATCTCATTGGATTTAGATGGAAGTGGCTTTACCTGTATTTAGATATTTAGATGGCAAAAGACAAATCTCAGATATTTTGGCATCCTCTTCCCTAAGGAAATTAAAAGCACAGTCAAGGTTACCCTCACCCCATTAATCATGCAGTTAGCAAACTATTTACATGGATGGCAGGCACTACCTCTCTCCGTTTGGGGAAAAATAAACAATCAAAATGAATGCCATTCTGAGCATCTTTTTTACTCTGAATTCCTTTCCTACCCATATTTCTCCTTTTTATTTTACCAAAATTGACACCATGTTCAGGTCTGTTTTGTAGGGTGCTGGTAACAAACCCAGAATCTCCTTCCAAAGATTACAGTTCCCTGTCAAAACAGGTTTTAGATGTCTCAACCATCAAGCAATAATCCTTAGCCACCAGCACAGTGGCTCATTCCCTTGTGCTTTAGAAACTCAGATTGGTTCCAGCTGGAAGCAGAATTGTTTGCTCCTTTACCCCTTTCCAATGTGCTGCACTTGGATTACTACTGATTCGCTAAAGAACAACTACCAGTTATTGTGGCAGACAGAAATACTTGGCATACTATGTCTACTAAATTTAAAAATCACCCTCTTCTACATACCAAGGACTCTTTATCTGGGATAACTTGAAACTCTGTATAGCAGACAACCCCATCATTTGGCCAGATTTAATTAGGAAAGGAATTCTGACCATCATTCAACTTATTGAAAATGATACCTTCCTCCCTTTTATAATATTCAAAGAAAGGTTCAATCTACAGACTAAGAAGGAGTGGCAATATGTCCAACTTAAACGTGCCATCTCCCATCTGTTGGGCCGCAATGCCTGTGCTACCCTGACCCACCTGAACTGCATTCATTTCTCAAATATTACCCAGATTGCCAAGACCTACAGCAACACTATATGCACGTTTGGCCAGCAAATTTGAATTAAACATGAATTCCCTAAATAAGAAACGGAAGGCGAAACTAGGCCAATTTCTCTCTGCCAGCCAATGGAAACAAATTTTAGCCAGTGCTCCAAACTGTTCCTTGGATCGCCATTTAAAATGAATCCATCAGAAAATCATCTGGAGGATGCACTGTTCAAACAGGTGCTGCTAAGTGAAACAAATATTGGCACTATGATTCAGCAGGTGCTAACTTAACCCAGACATTCTGGGAATCCTCCTATATCCATATATAACATAATAAAATTGTGTTACAAACTAAACATGCAATCTTAAACCTAATGGATGTTAACTGGAAGCTGAATAAATCTGAAAACCTTTAGCTCAGCAGGGCACTAATAATTACTAAAAGACTAGTGCTACAAAAATGGAAATCCAAAAAATGACCAATAACTGAAGACTGGAGCAGGGACTCTGTAAGCTTGGCCACCATGGAAAGCATTGTATGCTGTAACAGAAATACCCAAGAAAAATTCTCAGTGATATGATATGCTTTCCTGAGGTATATGAGTGATCCTATTCAATGCCTCCCCTCTTACCTCCTCCTCTTCTCTACCCACTTCCTTCCCTCCTTATTTTGGTACCCCTCCTTTGAATTTTGCTTCTATTCTTTATCTGATTTTAATAATTTTATTTTAAGTATTTGGATTTTTATGTATAAATTGTTGCTTACAAATCGATTGTTTTGTAAGTTGCTTCAGTATTTTTCCATGTATTGAAGTTGAGCTGACTAATCTAAAATTCCCTGGGTTCTCTTTGTTCCCCATTTTAAAGATAGGTACTAATTTGCCCTTCTCCAGTCCTCTGGGACTTTATCCGTCCTCCATGAGTTCTCGAAGATAATTACTAATGGTTCCAAGATTGCTTCGACTAGTTCATTAAGTACCCTAGGGTGAATTTCATCAGGCTCTGCTGATTTAAAGACATCTAACTTATCTAAATATTCTTTAAACTATTCTTTCCCTATTTTGGCTTGTGTTCCTTCCCCTTTGTTAATATTAATTTTGTTATTTATCTGATCACAATTTACCTGTTTAGTGAAAACTGAAGCAAAATAGTCATTAAACACATCAGTCTTCTTGATGTCGTCCATTATTAGCTCTCCCTCTCCGCTAAGTAGAGGACCTATACTTTCCATTGTCTTTCTCTTTCTCCTGATGTATTTATAGATCCTCTTTTTATTGCCTTTTACATCCCTTGCTAGGTGTAACTCAGGATATGTCTACACTACAGCAGCACAGCTACACACTGCAACTGTGCACTGTAGCATAAACACTTCCTACATCAATGCAAGGGGATTTTCTGTTGATGTATTTAATCCACCTCACCAAGAGGCAGTGGTTAGGCTGACGGAAGATTTCTTCTGCTGACCTTGCTGCGTCAACACTGGTGGTTAGGTCAACCTAACTGTGGTACTCAGGGCTCAAAATTTTTCACAGACCTGAGCCACGTAGCTAGATTGATCTAATTTTTAAGTGTGGACCAGGCCTCATTTTATGCCTGACCTTTTCTGATTATGTCCCTACATGCTTGTGCTATTCTTTTGTTCTCCTCTTTAGCAATTCATCCATGTTTCCATTTTTTGTACGATTCTTTTAAGATTTTCAGGGCGTAAAGAGCTGCTGTTGGAGCCATATTGGCACAACATCTTTGAAAATAAGGCCATTAATTCTTGAAAACAGGCATTTTTAATACATTTACACAAATTAAATTAAGTAAACAAACAAACATTACTCCTGGAACCTTAACTTTCACATTTTTATGACACTTGTGTTCAAATATGCAACCTAAACGCTACATTAATGTGGCACTATGCATTGAAAGAGAAAAGAAAGTACTTTCTCTGACACTATGGAGTCATCCAATTGTTCCTGCATGACTCCATGGGATTTAAACTGCATTTCTCTGTATGGGCATGATCCTGCAAGATGCTGACTATCCTCAATTCCTGTGGGAGTTAAAGATACTCAGCTCCTTACAGGAGGCAGAAATCTAGGAGCAGCACAGTGGAAAAATGTGGCACTATAAAGTCGCACGATATTATTGTACCATAGGCAGTAACATAACTAAAAAAACTATACAAGTGTTGTAGTTTGCATTCATTAATGCACATTTTAAAATATTTACTAATTTTTCTCAAAAATTATCAGACTATTTCCCAGTAGAATTTGCCATGTGCAAAATGTCATATTTTAGAGTTAGTTAGCCAGACGCAAATAAATCTTAATATGAGAAAACCGCTCAGTCTTTCCCTAAAAGTCACCTTTGGTCTGAGAGAAAGTATGACAATTTCAGTCAAAAAATGAAATTTAGAGAAAGTTGTGCACAAATGAAAATAGTGAGTTAAAATGCCAGTAGAGTTATGACCAGCGGTAGTCATTAAGGATATGTGTACATGGCAAGGAGAAACCCATGGCAGCAAGTCTCAGAGCCCCTGTCTACAGACTCATGCTATGCCATTAAAAATAGTGTGTAGATGTTTGGCTTGGACCGAAGCTCAGGTTCTGAAAACTTTAAATGAACCCTGTATTTTCATGGAATTTTTTCAAAGATGATTACTTAACTCAGAGGAGAGAGAGTGTTCTCTAGTGTCTAAGCCCATTTCATTGCAAAAATTCTCACTTATCTACTGTGGCCTTGGCTACACTTACCGGCAAGTTCGACGGCTGGAAATCGAACTTCTGGGTTCGACTTATCGCGTCTAGTCTGGACGCGATAAGTCGAACCCGGAAGTGC